CCCACATTCTCAGGGCGACCCTGGGGAACCCACTGAGGGACCAGCACCCTTCACAAGTGTCAAAGTCCTGAAAACCAACCAGCTGTCACAAACAGAAGGTCACCAGGAGATGTGTGAATGCCCTGAGGGATCTCAGGTCACATCCTGGACCAGAAAAAAAGGATCTTGCTGAAAAAAAAAACTGGTGGCAGTTGAGTAAAGCCTGTGGTTACATTTTTCTAATGCATGTGAAGAGTTTGGTCAAAATCATTTTAGGGACATGTGGCAGACTCCAAAGCAATACTTTAATTTCACCCTAAAAATGCATATAATCCACACTCTCCCTTGGATGTGCCGCTGCTAGATAAACCCCTGTCTGTACCTCTTTGTGTAACCAAATTTAACAACCAAAATCAGTTCATAGGCTGGGGAAAGGGCAGACTGAAGCTTTGGGCAGGGCCCACCCCACAGATGTAAGGAGAGGCTGGGCCAGGCCTGCGAGCTCCAAAGGCAGAGAGGAGCAGCCGGCCTGATGCCTCCTTTGCCCCCACAGCATCCCTGTCAGACGTGTAGTATCCACATGACTCCAGTTTACAATGAGGAAGCTGAGGTTGAGTGAGAACCTGGCCTTGGTAGGCCTCCAGGGAGGGGTGGCCAGGTGGGCCAGGTCTGAGGCCACTTGGCTGGCTGAACGCTTGGAGACAGGTCACTTCTGACAAAAGGATGGAGTTGGGACCCCCGCTGTGCTAGGCTGAGCGAGATCTGGGGGAAACCCCGCCCTTGACGTTGCCATGGAAACCAGCCCCTTTCCCTGTGTTGCTCGCTGCTGTTGCTCGCAGCGCTGGTTTTTAAGGAGATGGTATTGTGTGCTTCTTGGGAATAGGATCAAGGCTATTTCTTCTTCCACAGGACTCGGCAGTTGAATAGAGCGTGTCGTGAGGTGGAGGGGAGATAAATTGATACACTGGAAGATCCAACGGGTGGTTTTCCAATTTTTCAGAAAAAGAAAATATATATTTATGTCTCCCAGCCCATCTCCTGACCTGATGGACAGCAGGGCTTGCCCAGGAGCTGTCTCTACTTCTTCAACACCTGGCCACTGTCTGTCCATTCCCCTCCTGCCCTTCTCCCCAGCCTAGGCTGTGACCCGAGGGGAGCAGGGCAGCCTGTGGACCCACAAGTTTGATCTCTGCATCCAGCGCTGGCTCAGGGAGAGGGCTCTGTTCCTTGAGGACAATTCCATCACCTGGGAGGGTGGCCCATGCAGCATGCCTCCCCGGAGCTCCTCCTGTCACCAGCAACCTGTCCTGCAGGGCCCATTGAAGACCAGGTTTTCCAAGACCTCCTGGTAACAGCCACCACGCTGGCTCACCCTCTGGTCACAAAGCTTCTAGAACAATCGGGCCCCCTTCCCATCACCTTTGCTACCCAGCCTTGGTCCCATCTTACTGGGAGCCTCCAAAAGAGGTTCCCTTTGTGGATAAACAGATTTAAACATGTGCAAAAGCCATGGGGAAGGGCGCTGTCAATATGGTCATTGCCTGGCTCCCTCTGGAGCGCGTCCCCCAAAAGGGCTCTGTAAGACCCCATTCTCCAAACTGAGAGGAGCTTTTTCCAGATCCAGCCTCCTCTGGTTCAACCTTTGTGACCAACCTGCCTCTCCAGGGATTTCCAGGTCGGGAGAGAGGCGTCCTCTTTGGTTCTAACTCCCCAGGAGCAGCACCCGCCTAGGTCGATCCTCAGAGAGAAGGGCTGCCATCATGGCCGACCCTTCTAGCACCGCTGCTTCCGGTGGGTCGCCACAGCAGACTCGTCACACGGAATAGATAGCTCCGGTTTGTTTTTTTGAGCAATCGAGTGGCAAATCTATTCATAACAGGATGTTGGAACATGTGTTCATTAAGTCTTCAGTTGACTTTGTGTAATTAAAAAATACACTGGGTGTTCACGGGCTGGCCATGTGGGTCAGCCGCCTCCTGGGTGGAGGCCAGCCCTGCCCCAGGCCTCTCCAGCACGTGTCTCCTGGAGGCAGGCTGGATGTGAAGGCTGCAGGTGGGCGTGGGTTCTCACGGCCTGCACAGCAGGAAGGGCAGGAGCCCTGCTGTCCTCCTCCTCTCCCACCCATCTGGCCTTCGGCCACCATCCCCAGCATGGCAACAGGCTGGGAGCCTCCATTGCCAACTGTGGGCAGAGTCCACCCAGCTCTGCCTTAAGTGGCCTGCCATGGGCACAGTCACCAACCGTAGGGCAAGACACAGAGACCCGTGGTCACTGTGACTGGTGGAGCTGTTAAGAGACAGGTGGCAAAACACCTGGGTTAGAGTCATAGCTCTGTCACTCACCAACCAGATAGCCTTGGGCAAGCTGTTTCTCTGCTGTGCACCTCCACGTCTCCATCCTGAGATGGGGACAATTAGATGATACTGATGGCCATGGTGTTGGAGGCAGGGCACCTACCCCCTGGGACTGGCAGGAGGGTAATACGAATTAAGAGACAGAGAGCACTAGCACCTGGCAGAGAGCAAGGACATCTAGATGGGTGCTATTCCCAGCATGGACCACCTATGCGGAGTCCTGCTAATGATAACTGCAACTTGACCTTCTAGGAATTAGCTATGACCTTGACAGTGTTACTCAGGGTCCTTTAGAGAAAGGAAGCAGTTCTGGGGGCAAAAGGGTCCCACAAACCTTGGTTTAGATCCCAGTTCCTCTACAATGGCCCGAGGGTAGGCGCTTTGTCACTCTGAGCCTCAATCTCTCCACCTCCTATCTAGTAGGGTCAATAACCCCTACCTCCAGGGTTGTACTAAGTCTCAAGCTAATTCTGAAGACGTCCCATGGATGCCCATTATCCCCCTCCTCAAGCTGTTGGCCAGCCACCAAGTGCGTTGTGTTAAAGCCATTGTCAGACCCTACCTTTGCTACATTTCCACATCCAAGTCTGGCTCCAGACCTCAGGGTAGTGACTACTTAGAGCGGTTGGAATGCGTCACCCTAAAGACAGGTGCTGGAAACACGCTCCCCACACACAGTGTCGGGAGGCGGGGCCTGAGGGGAAGTGTTTAGGTCTTGAGGCTCCAACCTCGGGGACAGAAGAACACCCATTACAAGGGACCTGAGTCCATGAGGGGAACCTCTTGCTCTCTCCCTCCCTCTCTTGGTTTTTCTGACATGGAATGATGCACCAAGAAGGCCCTGGCCAGAGGCTGGAGCTTGATGTGGACATCCCCGTCTCCAGAACGGGGAGAAATGGGTTGCTCTTCTTGATAAGTTATCCAGTCTACATTCTGCTATAGAAACACAAAACAGGCTGAGATGCCACGTGCCAGGCCGTGCTGACCAGCAGGGGCTGTGAAATGAACACGGGGCTACAGGACAGGTGGCCATGCGCATCTCCTGGGCCTTACCTAGGACCTCAGCGTCAGGTCAGACCCCACTGGCCTGAAGGTGGAGGTCCCCAGGGTCCCATTCCAGCCCCTGCTGCATAGGCCACTCTGCCCCCAGGGCTCACCCACCCCTCTGGGGTCCCCTACCCGAAACATCTTCATCAATCTCACTAAGAAGAAGACTGAGGCTCTCAGACACATCTATCTTTATTTGTTTCCTGTCAGAAAATTTTGAGAATTACACCAAAAAATACTTCAGCCTCTGCTACCTACTGACAAAAATACACCACAAAATTATAAAGCGCTCAGCGGTTTTGCTAGGGACGATTTGTTATTCCGCTTCAGATGACAAATGAATTTACAGGTGACTCAGGTGATGGGAGGGTGGGGGAAGGAGGGAGAACAGATGAGAGCATTTGGCAGGAGAGCTTGAGCGATAGTAGCCTTATTACCCAGCTGTCGGGTACGATGATTTCAGCAACAGAGCAAGCCACAAAAATACCCTTTAAATGGCCTGTCACAGACTAATGGGGAAACAGTGACACATCTCAGACAGCCAGCTCTCCAGCCAGCCCTGGGCCTGCTGGACTCGGAGCTACAGCGCCATAGGATGGGCCTCCCGGAGCCTTTGTGAGGGGCCTGGGCGGGCCCAGGAGGTTCCACGGAGCAGGCCTGGGTGATGCCAGATGTGGCCCTTCCTCGGGAGCTTCTAGAACTCGGTTGGCTGCCACCTGAGGTTCCTGGTTGGGACCCGGGTGCTGCCACTGTTAGCACTGAACCAACAATGGCCGAACACCTGGGGCCTGTGCTTCTAGTGGCCGAGGGCCAGCGCCTGGCTGGGCCTTCCTGCTGAGCCGCCTCCTTCTCTCCCTCTCTGCCCTGCCAGTCACAGGCGTGGGCAGCATCCAGCTGTGGAGCTAGAGAAACCTGAAAAAGGCAAAGAAAAACCTGCCCACGTCTGAGTGTCTGCTTCTGCAAGTCACTAGGCCACCGGGCGAGCCCTCAGAGCCCAGCGTGGGGTGCCCAGCCCTGGCACCAACACCCACCCCCGGTTTGTGCTCATCTTGCAAAAGGCACCCGAGCTCAGCCGAGTCTGCTCTGGGTTGTGCGCATCCTGGGCTTAAAAATACCAAAACCAATCCTTCCTCCCAGCCGGGCCCCTCCTAGCTCCCCGAGCTCCTGTCCCCCAGACCAGAGGCAAACCAGGCAGCCCCGTCTGCCACCCACTCGCACCAGGCCCACGCCGAGGCTCCTGCAGCCTCAGCTCCTCACGCCCTCCAGATGGAGCCTGCTCGCGCTTTCTGTTCCTTTTCTTTGTTTCTCTCCTTTTCTGTTTTTTTTTTTTTTTTTAATTTTCCTGACAAAGAATAAGCAGTGGCTTTGAGAATATCTTACATGGGAACAATCAACACGAAACATGCCTTTGTACATGAGCCTGACTTGGGGACGAATCAACAATACCAAGGGACAAAAAGGAACATCGGTTCAGACAACTCCAGTGCACGATATTTTCCGGAGAGTGCCGCCCCGCCCCCCGCCCGCCCCACCCCCACATCCCAGGAGTACAGTGTTGTCTTGTAACTCGAGCTTGGCTGAGCCTGGGGGGGTCCCCTGCCCACCGCCCCCCCCCACTCCGGCTCGGGTAGGCCCCTAATGGCCCTGGGTCTTGGGCGGCTTGGGCTCATGAATGACAGCGGCCGCCGACAGCCAGGGCCCGATGGCCCGGGCAGTGCTCTGCTTGGCCACGCTGTAGTGGCTGATGACTGTGTAGAAGCGGCTTCTGGAGTTGGGGTCCTGGGACGAGTAGTAGGCATCCAGGGAGGCCGGGATGCAGCGCTTGTGCTAGGGAAGAAGGAGACCGTCAGGAGCGTGTGGCCAGCCCACCCCTTGACCCACACACAGCTCAGCACACAGTGGGTGACAACCTCCACCTGGCCTGCCCCTCTCCAGCATCGTCACCCTCCCATCACCATCATCAACACGGCCCCTTGGAAGAAGCCAGAGGAAATGAACCTGATGGTGACCCCAACCCAAGGCCAACCTCCCCTGCTCCTCCACTGTGGGGCTCTCGGGCCCCAGCTCCCCTCTCCTGGCACCAAGGGTTTCCCGGGCTGCTGCCCATGGACCATGGCTGCTTATTTTATGCTCTTGATTTTACATTTGTATCTCTCTAATTCCAAAAGTCTTGGTCCCTAACAACATAAATGTATCAGTGCATTTGTATTATCTTATAATATGAGTAGCACAGTCACAAAATAACACAACATTCCCCCGCAGAATTAGTCCACTGCGTGAACTTCTTTGACTCTGCTCTGCGGCTCTCTATGTCCTTAGAACACAGACAGTCCCGGCTTGGAAGGGTTGTCATTTTCTGACTGGGACCATACAAAAGCACCCCTATAGGCCAGTGTTTCTGCCTTCCAATTCAGTATTCAATCAGTGGCCTGAGACACTCAACACCTGGTTATAGGACAGGCTTTGTGGGAGAGGATTCTGCCTGGAACCAGATGAAGGTAAGGATCTGAGCCCGGTCGCCCCGTGTGGAGCTGTGGTGCTGCTGGGTAAGTCAGATGCAGTTTTGACTTCTGTCATTTTCATCTTATGAAAGGGTCAAGGGCATCTCTATCTTCCACTGAGGGTGGATGTCCATACCCTGTATCCCACAGTCATTTGAGGTATTTAGTTTCTTTGTAAGTTTATGTCCTCAACTTGATATAGAGCGAGGTTCTTGGTTTAGGTTGTTTTCAATTGTCAGGGTTTTCTTTTTTCTTATTCTTAAAAATTTTTCAAATACGTCAATCACTCATCATCTCATGACAACATCTAAGAAGACATACCCAGGGGCGCTGGCTCCTGTCCCTGTGCCCTCACTGCCCTTCCCTTTCCCCGAGTGACCGTTTTTAGTAGTTTTTGGCTAATCCTTGTGGGCTTTCTTCATGACAGTACAAGCCACGCCTCTCGCCTTCCCTTTCCCACACCCAGGCAGCTGCTCCATCCTTCCTTACCCACTGGCTCCTCCACCCCAGGGGCCTGGGCCTCCTCTCCTGTCCCCACAGCACCACGGAGCCTGCCGTGTGTCTCCCGGAGTTCACTCAGTTGTCCCCAGCGCTAGCTGTTCCCAACCTTCAGATCCCAGCTTTTAGCAGTGAGGGGGGTGGTCTAGGGAAGTCACAGGGCAGAATCCAAGGACCTGCCCACGTTGGAAGGTGACTGGACCACACCCCCCCATGGGGAACCCTCTACAAGGCCAGCTCCAGCCTTTCCTCACCTGGACAATGGGGACGCTAGGACCTGTTTCTCAGAATGGTTGTGGCCTGACTGAGACAAGGCCCAGGAGAATGGCTAGCAGAGAGCCTGCCTAAAAGAGGGTGACTGTAAAGATGAATACCACTGCCTGTCCCAGTTCTGAATCACACTCTGCAACTGACGTGTCGAGGCCCGTCACCTGGCAGGCCTTTGGCCAGCTGACCAGACGGAATTCTCTCCTTAAAACCTCATGGAAATCTTTGGGGCATTACCAGCCCCCATTTTATGAGCCTCCTCAGCTCCCATGTTGCAGGTAAGAAAGCTGGGGCTTGGAGGGGCCCTGAGGCTCTTCGAGGTCACGTGGCTGGCTCAGTTCTTTGAAGGAGGTTTGCAGTTAGAGCAGGGCCAGGGAAGGACATGGAAACCTCAGAAGCACAGTCTTCACCCCTGTGCAGGGTCCTGCAGAGGTGAAGACTCTGCCATTAGCCCAGTGGCTCACCTCCTGACCTTGGACAGCGCCGACTGGGCAGGGAGCCTGATGGCCCGCTTGAGGCTGAGCCCCTCAGGAAACCCAGAAAACCTTGCTGGACACACAGTGGGCAGAGTGGTTGTCATGCCCAGAATTTGGATGCTGATGAAGACATGGATCATCCCCCAACCACACCCACCCGCCAGGGCCTCTTACCTTATAGACAAATCCCTCTGGACAGCTGTGGTCGTAGGTGAAGGCTTTGTAAACCACCAGGAACACGATGCAGGCGAGGAACGCTAGGGCCAGGCTGACGAGGATGGTGACCTGCAGGAAGACACACCTGCGTCACCCTCGGCTCCGGGTGCCCGTTCCAGCCCATGCACGAACCTTAAACCCAGGGTGGTAGGCAGATGGCCTGCTAGGAGTGCGGGCAGGGACCCAGCACACTGCTCCACTGGGCTTTGTCAAAGACGTGCAGCGTGCGCCAGGGCCTCCGTGCCTCCTTGGGCAGGATCATCTTGAGGCTTTTTCTGGACCCCACTCGGGACAGACTTTTCCTGTACACTGGGTAGGGAGTGGGGTTTGACCGCTAGGCCCCCTTTCCAGAGCTTCCTGGCTCTGTTGTGACCACCCCGTCACCACTACTGAACTCCATCTCAGACATCAACCGCTTGCTCCACCTCGTTGTGGACACTAGTCCCTAAACCTTCCCCTAGGCTCTCCTCCCACCTGGTGGCCATCACTGTGCCACCAGGCCAAAGACCTTGGTGCCCTCTGCCTCTCACCCCACACTCTTCTTCCAGGAGAGCCTAGCACCTCCGCCTTCAGATACCTGGTCCAGAGCCGACCACTCCTTACCACTCCCACCACTTCCGCCTGGCCAAGGCCACCCTCACCTCTCACCCACGGGTGGAAACAGCCTTTAACCCGAGACTTGCTTGCCCTCTCTGGTGTGTCCGACCCAGCAACCAGAGAGATCCTAGGCATCCAAGTCGAGGCATGTCCTCTTCCTGCATGCAGTGTCCTTGGACACCTCAGACTAGAAGCCCAGCTCCTGACCACTACCTACAAGCAAGCTTCATAAACCCTGGGGAAACCTGATGGAAGCCCCCCAGGATTTATCAGAAGGGAGCAAGTGAATGATTCCCGAGGCAGCTCCAGGTTTACACTGGCCCCATGGCAACCCCTGTACGAGGCAGACATTAGGGCGTCTAGAGCTAGGAGTGGAAGTTGTGTGCATTGTTTTTTAACAGCAGACAGCCCTTTGAGTCAGTCAGCCTAGAAATGTTACAGAATTCCTCTCCTGGAGAGAGGCTCCTCTTGATTCAGAAGAAAAACCAAACCATCTTTGGGGATCTTCATCCTATTTCCACCCCAAGGCTTGTTGGTGAGTACGGAGAACACAGGAGGCTAGGACGCTCCAGGCAAGGGGCGCTGCTTGTCGGCAGCTTGAATCCTGGATGGGAGACATGTGGGAAGGGGAAGGGGAAGTGGAACAGGGCGGTGAGTCTGAATCCTCTGGTGGAGAGTCCATGAGGACTCCCCAGGCGTGTGTGCGCGTGTGTGCGTGTGTGTGCGTGTGTGTGCGTGTGTGCACATGTGTGTGCGTGTGTGAAGGTTTCAGACACAGGTGAGTGCCACGAGGTTTTAAACTATTATTGGAGCAGTGTGCTGCCCTCCCCCTCCACTCCCCAGTTCCTCTGCTGAAGCACTGGACAGGAATCAGCCTCCTGCTTAAGACCAGGGTGAAGACAGTGCCGAGTGCAATGATGGGGACATCAGACCCAAGTCCCCAGGCAAGACGTGCAGCCCGCACGGAGACGTCCGTGGAAGCTGAGCCTGGAGCAAGAGCTGCCCCCAGCTCAGTCATGTGCACACAGACTCCCCAAAGATGTCATCTTAATGGCACAGGAAAGGGGGTCGCCCAAGACCACTACCCTACCCACCGACGCTGAGGACCAGGAACACCTGGTCAGTAGATGTTTGTAAAGAAACTAAAAATGCCCAGATTTTCCAATAACCGCAAGGCAGGAACAGTCCCGAGTCCATCAACTGGTGAGTTGATGGTCAGCTAGTGGTCAGTCAGCTCCACACCCACAGAGCCCCCTCCATGGATTTCATCAACTGTGGAGACCAAAATAACTGGAAAGTAAATTGCTTCCTTACTGAACAAGTACGGACATTTGTCTTGTCACCATTCCCTAAAGGACACAACATAACAGCGTTCACCTTGTGTTAGGGAATTATGAAGAGTCTAGAGATCATTTAAAGTACACAGAAGGGTGTCCACAGGTCCTATGCAAATACTACGCGTTTTAGATAAGGGAGCTGAGCATCTGAGCATTTGGTCAGTTATAGGGCTTCCTGGGTCCAATGACCATGACTCTTGAGGGACAACTGTATATGTACACAAGGGAACATTATTCAGTCATAAAAGGGCACGACATATATGTTACAAATGCAGACAGACCACAAAACCACATGCTAAATGAAAGAAATCAGGTGCAGAAGGTCAGATAGCAGATGACCCCACTTGTATGGAATATCCAGAATAGGTGGATCTATAGTCGCCAGGGACTGTGGAGGGGGCAGTGGCTGATGGCCTCGGGGTTTCCTTTTGGTGGTGATGAAAATGTTTTGGGGCCAGGTAAGGGTGATGTTTGCACAACATTATGAGTGTTCTAAATGCCACCCACTTGTTCACTGTAAAGTGATTGATTTTGTATTAATAAACTTTGACCTCAATTTTTAAAAATAAATGCTCAGGTCCCAGACAGCAGCCTGGCACCCACAGTTCTTCCCCAGAAGTGGGGAGCCATCCTCCTCAATGGTGGCTGCAGAGCCACCTTAAAGGACTTAAAGATGTGGCTAACAGCCCTTGACCTCACAGAGTGCTGCCTGGGCCCAGTCAAGAGGGCTGCTCCCAACATCAGCACAAGACATAGCCACGTGTGCGCCAGCCTGCTACTCACAGCTCCTGCATGCAGAAAGGAAGTTAGAACCATAGCACCCACCCCTGCCACTCCAACGGCCTGATGGGGGGGGGGGTCCAGGGAGTCCCAGAACACCTCCCACCCCAGTGACCATGCACAGAGCCCCAATCTCTCAGCCAACTCGGGAGCAGGGCAAGAGGTCCAAACTCAGACACAGATGGCCCGATTCGGGACTGGACACTCCCCCGGCCAGCAATAGGTTGGTGAATGGGCCTACCCCTGACATTCCCTGTGCTAACAACCCAGGAGGAGTCGTGTCACCAAAGTGTCACCGCAGCTTGAAAGTGTGAGCAGAGAGGCCTTCAGCAAGTGTCACTGGGACAAGAGAAGGGAAGAGGGAGGCCCTCTTCAGGTACAGTGGCCTCAGCCCCCCTTCACATTAGCAGCATCTGAGGGCCCTTTCAATGCTGGTGGACTGGGCTACCACAGCCTCAAGGATTCTAATTTTCGGGTCAGGGCCATGGCACTACTATGAACTCCTTGGGTGACGGATTAGACTAGGCAACCAGGGAGGCGCAGCTCCTCTGTGTGGTGGTGACCGGCTGCACATGGTTAGCATCGCCTGGGCAGCATTTGAAATACTACTGATTCTCTGATCCCACCCCAACCAATGACATCGGGACCTCTTGTGGGCGTAGTTCAGGACTCAGGATGTTCTGAAGCCCCAAGATGCTTCCCTAGTGCAGGCAGGTGGCGGAGAGCGCTGTGTGGACATGGGACGGGTGGCCCCTGTGACCGGCACCATCAATCAAGTTCGCTGTGCTGAGCGGGTGCTGGGGCACAGCCACTCTGTTTCTGGGATTCTGCCCAAGCAAGGCCATCTCACATCAGATTGGGTCACTCGCTCCAGACCGGAATTAAGATGCTGTAGCTAAAGAGTGTGCCTCCTGTCCTGAAGTTTGGTAACTTCTGCAGCTTAGGCCGGCCATTCCTGGAGAGACTTGGAAGGCTGGAAAGTGGCAATGGATCAGGTGTCACTGTCCCTCAAGACCTCAGAGTCTTCAGGCAAGGGAGAGGTAGACAGAGGTGGACACAGGCACTTGCAACACATGGGGTGGCACTGTGACCAACACAGGTCCCAAACGCTCAGGCCAGACTCGGGTCATGGAGTAGAGTCCATGGCCCAAGGAGGCTTGTGAGAGAGGAGGAAGGTGGACATTGGAGCTGGGCCTGAATTCCTGAAATGGAGTCTCCGTTGGTTTTCTAAGTAGGGTCAGGAGTCGGAGGCTTCTGGCTGCCTATGGGTGGATTTCCTGTGGGCTGCTGCACTGGGCATCCTACAGAGCTGGCCGCCTCAGCTGGCCTCAGCCTTTCTGGCAGGTTTGTGGAATTCAGAGCCCCCATGTGCTTGATCCCTGCAGTCAAGCTCCCAATGGGGCGGGTGGGCCTTCAGGGCCTGGGAAAGAAGCCCCCTTCCCAACGAAGCCCCTCTGGACCCGAAAGCCTGAAATCCACGTCAATATTTATTGACTGGGTTTATAAAACTCCATTCCTTGGAGACATTCTAAAGCCTTTAGTTTCACCTCTTGAATTTAACAACCTGGCACTAGCAATAAATAGCTCATTAGCTTTCCAATGTTGGATGTGACTGGTCCATTAGACGTGATGCTCACCACATGAAGCCCCCTGCTCACCGTCCTCCTGCTCACTCACCCTCACCCACGCAGTGTGGTAATGACAGGGCCGACAGCGAGCCAGGCACTGGCCCATGGTCCCTGTCCTGGGAGGTGCGCTAGGCAGAGTCGGGCATCGAATGCACAAAAACCCAAATGGTGACAAAATCAGAAGGGACCTGGAACAGAGTGTGCAGAGGAGAGGGCATCCTGAGAAGCAGAGCCAGGCAGAGGGGACCCGGGCCCTCCCAAAGACCCCCAGAGGAGACGAGCACAGGCTCCCCAGAGGACCTGGGAGGGGCTGTCTGGCTGTGACTAGAGGACACAAGGAGACACAGTCAAGGTGCAGCAGGAGGGACAGGGGCCAGCCCTCAGAGGCTTTGCAGGCCCGGGCCACCCCAGCCCGGCTCCTGCTCGCCCTCCAGCCTCACGCCGGCCACTGTGGGGCTCACCTCCGTCCTCAGTCCCAGCCCACTCCTGAGTGTCTCTGGCCCTGCCTGGAGTTCCTCCAGGGTGTCCCTGCTTGAGGGCCAGGGAGAAGGATTCCTCAACCTCCCACCTGGCCTGGCTCCTGCCCCTCCCCTGCTCAGGGCCCAGCTGGCTCAGACTCTTCCAGAGCTCCAGGCTCAGCCTCACCTCCATGGCCCTCAGAGCCCCACCTTCTGAGAAAGCCTGGCAGCCAGCAATGTCCTCCCTCTCTGTGCCACACACAGAAAAA